TAGGCAATTTCAGGGTCGGTTTTTTTTTTTTTTTTTTTTGTTTCATTTTAATAAATCGCAGAGACGGGATAAAATACGAAGTGGGACGTTACGGTTTAGAGAAATCAGGCTAACGTGTAACAACGATTTTAGGATTACCTGTTGCTTCCGTTGTTGCTCTTCCAGTCGTATCTTCTCCACCTCTTCCTGCCGTTTTTTCCGAGCCTGCGCACATGCCATATACACACGTCACTCGCATCCATCATTATTTTTTGCAGGGTCAAACTTATACAATCATTTCTGCTTAATTTGATTTCTTATTTTTCTCGACCTTCGCGGGGGAGTTTTACCGTTTTAAATTCACAGATCGTCTATTTTTCCTTTGTCTTTTTTTTCGATTTCACACGAGGGGAATTTCCGTAGATTCTTTTCTTTTTCTTTTTTTCTTTTCACCGACAATCACGCGATATTATTATCTATACTAATATCTATGCTAATATCTATACTAATCGAAGGATCTTATTGGATGTTTATTTTATAAAAAAAAAAGAACAACAAAAAGAAGAATTATACAGGAAGTTCTGTCACATTGATCTTATTTTTCTGTTGAAATATTTTCAATATTTTGTTTTTCGATCGTTTCTCTTCTTAGATACCGTGTGCACCGCGTGTACCTCTATGAAATTCTCTTCTCTGCAAAGTCTAAAATTTCTACGTTGAAAATCTGGAGAAGCCCCGAGATTCTCATTGAAAATTGTTCTTTCGCGAGGTCTTTTTTTGTGGAAAATCCGATCTCTTCGTGCTATTCGTAACTCAAACGCTACAGTGTAGAAGCGAACTCGACTACGTTAGCAGAGTCTGTGACAGGGAGATAAGCGTCTAATCTAGCGTGTCTAAATTCTAATTTCTCCAATCGAGGCTCGATATCGTCATTTTGGTCGGTTTCAGTATCCGCTGATAAAAAATCGTTCTCGAGACGTAAACCTTTTCTCGATTTCATTAAAATCATGGTAATTCGGTGAATCCGTTTTTCTTGAGAAATGAATAAACGTACAAATCGATAAGAATATGCCAATGAGCGGAGAATAGCAATCCAAATATAGGTAGTTACAAAGAAAATGTAAGACTTGGCTCGATATAAATGCCAAAGTTAATTCTTTCCACGTTATATCGAGTTTTGTATTCGCTACATTTTTCGACCAACGTAAGATGATATTTAAATTCATGGTGAGAGATGGATCGAAATGTTTTGGATTTTTTTTTTTTTTTTGTAACGACTGCGGATTTATATACACTTATCTAGAAATGCAAAAATACACGCAATGCAAAGATATATAAAATATCTAAAGTATAATATAAAAGTATTAAATAGGCGAAAGGAACTTTTGTCTTGATAATTTGCATAAACATTTGCAGCCTGTTAATTAATAACGTGGTCGATATGGCAATGATCTATTAAAAATACACGTCTATTACGACACACGGAAAGCATACGTGAACCCATAAAATATCGAAGTAATAAAAGAAAAACACATCGAACATCCTTTATAAACATGAAAATAGGTTTTCCCGCTTTTCATCGAGACGATCGATTTTGAGTCTTATACCGATTCCATGTTCTTTGTTCGTCCGAGTGAATACGTACTACAAATACACTGAATCTTAAATTCTTTTTGTAACATCCTACATAATTGGTGAACGAGTGGATCAAACCGAGATACAAATTGGAAACAACTACGAGGACAGAAGTAATTGCACACATAAAAACGGCGTGTGTTCGAGTCACGGGACTCTTGACGGAGAAATCTCTTGCACCGGAATCTTCCAAGAAACAAAGAAAGAAAAGAAATATACTGGTGAAAAATCGTACGCATGCTAGTTCGTGGAAAATCTCGTGACAGAAAGAAGAAAACTGAAACGTGATGATAATATACAGATATAACGTGGTGAGAGTGAGAGAAAAGAGAAATCGTAAAAACAAAGAAGAATGGAAATGACGAACAGAGAGAAAGAACTGCAGCCAAGCAGAGAAGTTGAAACAAACCGACGTGTTCCGTGTTCGCGAGGAAACCGCGTGACTGCACGGATCACGAAACGGAACATGGAAGAGAAGTGAGGTTGAGGTTTTATCGAACGAAACCAAAAGCTTCTCACCAACTACCAGAGAGAAAAATATATAGACAACATATGAAATATTTAATTGATATAAATATATATATATATATAAAAAGTGTGTATATATATAATATATATATAATAGTAATATGTATATATAAATATGTATATATTGTAAACCACCACCATAATTTGTACAAGAAAAAAGACGAAAGACAAAATAACGTAGAAAAGTGGAAAAGTGTTAAAAAAGAGAGTATAAGAGTAAATTTTTGAAGCGATCAAAAGAAGAAGAAGAAGAAGAAGAGGAAGAACGTGAAGAAGAAAATTGTGAGAAGAAAGAGAAACAGGAAGAGAGCGCATGCAGGAGCCAAGCATATATACTCGCCTTATGTATTATGCACATATTATAGTGATATTATATCGGAGTCGTATTAATCGCTGAAGCTGCTATATTGATAAAAATAGTAGAGTATTTGTTAATTAGAACGTGTTGTGGAACAGTAGCCTGTTTAAATTACAAAGAGTTCTTAATAGCTGTGAGCGTGGTCGGTATTCGATATATAATAATTCATAATCATAATGGTAATTAGAATAATGGCAACGGTAATAATAAAGAGCGATAATTATAAAGAGAGCGTAGGTACGATTAATCGAGTAGATAATATTATATGTTGCACGCGACAGCGTTTTCTCGACATTAAATAAAGAGAGGGGCGAAAAAAATAAAACGAGACGTGAAAAAAAAATGAGAAAATTGAGAGAGAACGAAATAAAAAAGAACGAAATAAAAATAAAAAAGGAAAATTGTCGAGCGAGAGGAAAAGAAAGCGCTTGATTTGCACGGGCAGCGGTACTCGATAATCGGGTAGAACACGTAAAAATTTGAAAAAAATATGGCATGCTGGATAATCATGTAGCTAGCTGTTATTTTTGTATATATAGTGACAGGAGAAGCTAGGCACAGGATAGCATTGCGACAGTCGGTATTACAATATTTTTTTTTTTTAATTTATCGTCATAGTCTCGCAGATATTGTACATTCACGTGTAATTGAAGAAAAAAAAATAGAAGGTTTCTTGTGTCTTCTACGCATACTGTGTTAATCTTCGTCACAATATCGACGTCGAATCTCGAAACTTTCTTTCTCATGTATCATCAAGTAAATCAATAGAAAAGTTCGACGATTCGTTTCTTCTCATGGCACTCGAGCCGAATTGAGCACCGTCTTTAAAATGTGCGTCCAAATGACCGATTAAAGAGGTCGATTTATTGCAATCGATATAACGCGATTTGTCTTATACGAACAGTCGTTTAAATATTTGGAAATCCAAAGTAATTTCACCAAATTTCTCTCTTTTATTTCGAAGATTTAATTTCACCGATTAAATACGATTCATTTTGCCTTGTACAAAGTGATTCGCACGACGTGGTCTGTTATCAAAATTATCGACGTTCAAAGGAAACTTTTTTTATTTCTCAATGATCATGAACATTCCTTTTTAATGATTCTCGATATCTCTGTTTCGAGTTCGATCAAAATAAAAGACAGACGTACATATACGTAAGCATGTTCTTACTTTCGACGATATCACGTTTTCTGTTAAATCAAAAAATCCTCTGCCAGATTACGCCATTAACTTTAAAAATTCTCACGTTAGCGACACCGCGTGAACCACCCTGCAAAACCCATCGACAGTTCCAACTTCATTTTCTCGCGTTTATTGCGTTTTGAAAAAAAAAAAAAAAAAAAAAA